CCCTACCTAATAATCTTTTATAATTCTAACAAAGTTGAGTAATTAAAAACTACATGTATCCCCTTTTAAAATCCTTGGGGCTGAGAGCCTCTAAAATGATGAAATTGAGCTCCTTTTTCCTGGAAAGTAATTCCTCTACATTTTGGATTAAGGTCAGGAATGTCTGGTGCCTTTTCAAATTGCAGAATAAAATGTGATGTTGTTTATAAATACATTTGCTTTTTGGCCAATTTACAGTTCACCGAAGTTAAGCACATTCCTGAAGACGTCTTGGAAATGTTAAAGTTCTACCTGATATCATGTTAGGTGTGTTATCTCTGGTGGTGTCATTAAATCCAACTTCACCTTTAAAAAGAGAGCTATGACGCCATTAGAATTCACAAGGAGCAAAACTCACAGAACACAAACATGTAATAAAGCTGAACTGATAATGAGTTGGCGGTGGGCTCTTTTTCAAATGTTTTACATACATGTATGCTTTGAGTTTAAAATTGATTTATCTTGTCAGTTTGATTATATTGTTTATTTTAAACAGTCTTTTAGCTAACAATTCAAATAAAAATAACAAAAAAACAGTTTACTCACGTTTTAGACAGAATATGAGAAAACTAAAGATACGGTAGGCACAGTGCAAATGGACTTTATAAGCATATTCTACATGTGTATGGGTTCTGGGTTTGATCTTATATAGGGGTTATTCGGTATCAGAGCAGTAGTTTAGACTAAGATTTCAAGATTCCCAGAGTTTTTAAGTATACCTGCGTATAGATTTCACTTAAAAATAATATAGAATTTTATTGATATCTGAACAAAAATACCTGCAAACCAATCTGGAAAGTACCTGGAAAAAATAAAACTCATCTCTGGCCAATGTACTATTCAGATTTCTGTTTTGGAGCTTTGATAAATTCAAAAAGAAGTCTGTTAATGAATTAACTCAAAATAATTTTAGTTTATTATGATATATAATATACATGGGCGTAGCCATTGGGGTGGTATCGATGCAATCACATCCCCCCTGACTCCCACAAAAAAGAAAAAGCAATTTGTTGAAAAAAACATTCACAAATTATACAGTAGTTTGAAATGCTTAGAATGCACTATAATTTCCGGGGGGGTGAACCCCTGTACCCTCCTTTTTGGGATCGCTTACTGTTAATAAGTGCTGTATCTATTTTGAGTTAATTAAGGATCAGAACCAAGACATATGGAACAAATAGAACATCATTGAGTAATCTGACATACTTTTTCCATACAAATACGTTGTAGTACTTTCCAAACTTTCCTTATATTTTAGGGTATTTATCACAACATATAGTTCATCAGAAACAAATTTTTGTAAAATCGTGATAATTTGGGAAAATATACAGCTCCATGTTAGTTTAGTTAAACTAAGGTAGCAAGCGTGGAAATAGCCTCTTGTTTTCATACAAGTAGCCACCTGTTTTGCATCATCTCTCCATTGACACACAGTTAAATTAGCTCTGTACTTTATGAAAAATCGTCATATTTTTTAATTGGCTATCCTGCATGTTCGAAACTGAGGCATAGTTTTATATGACGGCTAATTAGACCTAATTGGGTAGATTAAATAGACACAGTAAGCGACAAAGCCAATTAGAATCACTGACTGACTTAATATTAGTTGAGAATCCTTTAACATTTTATTTTCAGATAATCTCATCAACACTTTTACTCTGACAATGTTCTTATGTTCTTATGATTATGCTCATCCATCCAAAATAATCAGAGAGACAGTTCTTGTTAACAAATATGTCATACAAACTTTTGACATGCTAGACGAAACTAAACTACAAGTTAACAAAATAAACCAAAAGAACATGTTATATCCATTTCAGGGCAAGCAACAAGTATATTGGTTCATTTGTCAGACATGACGCCAATCTCCATCAGGTGTCAATGTGGTCTGTTTATTATGGCATATATTATACATGTATGTACATGAATCCCAAAGCCTCCTACAATTACAAACTATAATGCCATAGTAAAAGAGGTGTTTATTTGATCCAGCATGTTCTACTACAGGTTACACCAACAGACAGACAGACATGTTTAAAATTATGACCTGCCTATCTTTACCTTATCTTCATATTTGACAACATATTTGGAACATATTTCAAAGTTTAGTGCAACATCTTATCTCCTAAAACTCCTTATCAAATTAGAGGTTTTGCATAAAATGCCATGGTAGCAATCATGATATGGTGGTACTAGTTAGGGAGAGAAAATAAGGATGAATATGCGAGGAATTCAGAGGACATGTATCAGTATTTGACACATCAAACTGACACACCATCGCAGAATGAAAAATCTAAAGTAACAGAATCATTTCAAGATCATCTCAGAGACTACACCTTCATCTTGAAAAAACTCATCCCTGTCTGAATGGTTAAATGTAGCAGTTATAATTCTGATACTTGGTGCTATCTTAATGTATATCCAAGTTACTATGGCAACTGCCTCCCAATGGCACTTTCTGTAGATATGACCCAGGGATCACTTTAACTCTTATCTCACTTCTCACGAGTTAGTCAGTTACAAACTTATTTCAGAAACATCCAATGATGAATCCTATGAGAAGCCAGCCTCACATTAGTGCAATATAACCCAATAAAAAGCACTGACTATTCAATTTTCTTTATACTATAAAATGAGTTAGTCAAAATACACTTATCAGAAAAATGTACAAACACATTCCTTAACTCATTTTGGGCATAATTCATTTTAAATTCACATATATTCTTTAATGCAAATTCCAATTTTACCAAGATGCAATAAACTCCTAACAAAGATACCCCCCCCCCCTATCTCTTGATAAAAGACATAGAGCAACTCCTCTTGATATAACTGAATTCAAAGAGGGAGCGGCCTTCCACCTTAAGTGAGAATTGTCCCAATGGCTTTCTAATTGGGGTCCCAGCTTATTCTTTTTAGACTATTAGTCGAGCATTAATAAACATTCAAGATGTAAATGAAAGATGAAATTTCAGTGACCTATATTTTTTGTATTTGAGAAAGTTGGTCACTGAATTTTCTTAATTTTCATACTCTGCAGAAGATAATCTAGAAATCTTATTCTCTTTGTCCAAAACTAAAAGGAAACTTAATGAAATCATTGGCTAGTTGAAAGCCCATGATGAAATGAACTATGTGTACACCACCTGCAAATAACATGCAAGGAAATTCTGAACATGCCGAACTACCTTAATTAATGTTTTCTGATCAATGTTACTTTAAGTGGTAGATGAGAGAGGGTGGGGGGGTTAGGGATGTTCAAATGCAAAGGAAATAGACTGAAGAAATATTTTAATAACATATACAGGGGCGTCAGAAGGATTTGCCAAGGGGAGGGGTGATTTTTGGGTATGGATGGGTCATGCGTGAAGCGCAGCACTTCCCGAATCGGGGAGCATGCCCCCAGAAAATTTTCAAAAAAACCCTCTGGTGCATTCTGAGTATATGTCTCACAATGTTCCCAATAATAAAAAAAAGAAAAAATTGTGTTTTTAGAAAACTTCACTTGACTGACTAAAAAACTTTTACTAGTCTACAATATACAATTTGCACTTATTTTCACAGTCAGAGAGAATGTTTCTGGCGAAATTCGGGGACTTCAAATACTTTTAAGTTGGGAAACCGGAAGTGCTTACCTTTTTTAATTCCCGAATCTCTCCGAAATTAGCTCATCTTGGTGACTGTAAATTGCACAGCTGTATTCAATGGAGTCTTGTCATATTCGATCAGCCTCAATTTTAAAGTGTATATTTTATTTTCAACGTGATTTCATCGTTTTTTGTCGACTGGTAACAATCCGCGGGGCTAATGGCAAGATGGATGACTTTTGACCTGACCTTGACCGATGGTGATCACGTCATCAATATTACCAAGATGGCGGTTTCAAAATTTTCTAAAATCGCTTCAAATAATATTATGTTAATTCCTAGCGAGTAAAGATATCTCTTAGTTTGCTATTTCACAATAAGATAACGAAATGTGTAAGGAATTCGTATTTATCAATTAAAACATCACATCGACATTTGGTATTCGTAAACTAGACGATGAAGATAACGACCTCGAAAAAAAACAAAAGAGCGAGTACGGGATTCGAACCCGGGCCTCCAGCGTGCTAAGCGAGGATTCTCCCCCTAGACCACCGATTCATTACATATGGTATTGGGATTTAAACGCTACTTATTTTGAATGCTATGATTCGGCAGTGACGTCACGTTCTTCACGTTTTGTTTGAGAGCGAGAACGAGACGTGGCAGAAGCCCGGCTTTTTTGTCAGTCGACCTGTTCAAAGTACATTTAGTTATAATTATCGCTTTCCAGAACAATTTAGGAATCAATATTTTCTATCTACGTCGATTACAAAGCATCTAAGGTACGTAAATTTATATGAACAACTGAGTCAATAGGGATAAATAGCCCAACGAGAGTCGGCGGTCTTAAAAAATACTTGGATCTGGATGCCAGTCCTGGTATAAATATAGTTCCAGGGCAATTCGAAGAACGTATTAGATGTCCGTGCTTATTTTACAAAGTATTTACATACTGTATGGGCTCGAAGTTCCTGAGAAACTTTTACCATCTTCTATGCTTGATGTGGACTAATAGATACTGACATAGTATAATGTATCTGTCATTATTACACTTTGACTTTAATTAGCCTAGCTACAGCTTCCAATTCCAGGCTCGGTTTCAATTCTAAAGACTTGGAAAGGGGGGGGGGCAAGGCCTTCCTACGGCAATGCATGTACCATTTCTAGGATTTTCTGAGCTAAGATTTAGAAATGCCGAAGTACTTTGAAACATAGGCCAAGGGTAAAGTATAAGTAATCTGAATCTTGGCCTATGTTTGAAATGTGATTTCAGACTCAGTGAAGCAAAAATTATACAGAATTTTTATCAGTCAATTCAGCTAATCTTTGTTCTTCACTGACTGCAAGCAACAATCAAAAGAAATAAATAATACTTACCACTTATTCCTAAAGTCAGCAAAAGTGAAATCAGTGGTTTAATCCGCATATTGAAAGATGAATTGAGGTGCTACTTGTTTGCAGTTCCTGGGAAAGTATCTCTCGGTGCAATCCGGCAGAAATGAACGTTAACCCTTGAATTACCACGCCTGCCGATTTCGCATAAAGGCGATCTGCTGTATCCTCAAATTAAATCTGTTTCTAATTTATTTCATTAACAGGTTGATCAATCTTATGTTAAACCTTTCTTTTGTGAAACACTTTGAAAAAGCTTCGGTTATTGTTAGGCTAAGCAGTAAAGAAATGCTGTTAATTTGTGAGATGAGGCCCACACCCTTGCTCGGCTTGTTATCAATGACGAGCAATGTACTCAGATTTCACCAGTTATACACTAGCCTTGCTAAACTGCTTCTGTTGCCAGCGCAGGATTCACACAGCACATTGGCTGCTGGATTCTGGTACCAAATAGTTTGTAACAAAAAATAAATCGTAGCAATATTTATTTGTATTTATATGACAAATTTCTATAGTCGTGTTTACTTAAAATCCTGATAAATATAAACAATGTCATGAATGTCTGCAAATGACTGGTATTTCCATAAGTAAACTTATCACATAATCATGAAACACATATAATAAAGGTGACGATAAGAAATGAGTAGGCTAAATAATCTATTCATTGTAAAATATTTATATTTGCTTTTTCAAAATGGCTGAATAGCGACAACTTTTAGCCTACTCGGCAAAGAATTTTACTCCAAAGAAGAGTGGGGCGCAATATTTGCAATGGTATGTTCGATGTATAGTCAAACAGATGGATATACATAGGGTTAATGCCAATTACCGATTACGTGTCACATGCTAGGGGTCACGTAGGTCAGACCTTTAGGGTCAGCCTCGAGGGTCAATGCCTTGCCTATCAATTACTTCAGCATCCAGCAGGTTTGGTTGCTTCTGGTACTAAACGACAGGATATGAAGGTAATAATCAGTAACCAAAAACCGCTGGTGGTACCTAGAACTTTTGACCCTTTCTGTGGTCATTTGGTTCTCTTGACACCCAGTCCCATACCCTTGGGGGAAAACTAAATACAAGGACGAACCCAACGGGAGGTGTCAACATTTCTAATAAATGTAAAATCTCTTCAAAAACGTATGCCTTTTTGAATGAAAACTGATAATGATACTAGGCTTGTTTTATCATCTTCACTCTCTTAGTGCTAACTTTTGCATTTATTTTTAATTATTTTTAATTTATTTTTTTACTCATATGTTTTGCTTTATCAAAGAAAATTACTGACTCCATGCAATGAATATATCATTTGCGGGTAACTTTAACTTCTGTTTGAAGTCCAACAACGCTAAGAGTAAAAGCTATTGAAAACGGCGTCGGAGTATCATACTCCAAAATGTACCATTTCTTTTATTTCTTTTTAATGGTACAATATAGCGACACGATAATATTTACATATGTTTTCAGCATAACTCTGAAGGTATTAATGAGATCTTTATGTATTGGGTATTTTTAATTTTTTCAATAAAAAATAATGTTTAAATTTTTTGTCCGCTGTGACGGAGCAGTTTCAAATCTGAAATACGTTAAGAATTTAGATTTATAATATATCTCTTTATAACTACACGTTAGAGGAGGGAGCGTATCAACTCTCTTTCGTAAGGTATTCTGAAAAATGAAACGTAATAAAAGTACACAATTCAAATTCTGAGATGAATATACGACCACTCTTTAAGCTTCTTTTCTCAGTTTGTACTGTAATCCGAGTTATGCATGGTAACTCACGAAAATGATAGTCAACTTTATTTCAGTATAGGGTATTTGCCTTTCGTTGTGCCTACTGTGGATCCATCACCTGACATGGTCATTTTTTATGGTAACTTATATACAGTAATATTATGTGGTAAAAGGTTATACATCTGTCGGAATGCAGGATGTCTGTGCGCTATTTCGAATAAATTCATATTTTCCCTATTTATGTTACGCGGTAAACACGATACAAAATACAATATGCCATATTCCGCAACGAATATGCCATATTCACTTGCGGTGTATGACAGATTCACCTGTGGTATATGGCATAAACACTAACCAATGAGAACGTGATACGGAAGTATGCAATTGTCAATTGCATCGATTGAACGAACAAGTAAAACTTTATAAATTATTATAATGATTACTGAATCAACAGTACAGTTTATCGAATACATCAACGTATGCAGAAGTATCACTCACCAATCTCACGTAATAAACTTACCCAATCAATCCATGATTCATATATTAGTACTCGACGCACTGACAGTATTGGTAATCCAGCGTAGTTTTACATTCAGAGTCGATTCTCGCAACCAATCAAACCAAGTCTTTCTGTATCACGTTTTTCACCTGCGGAATATGTCATATTCAACTGCTGTATATGGCATATTCCGCAAGTGAGTGTGACATATTCTGAAGGTGAGTATCGGGTATTCACTGAATTCACTGCATCACATATTCACTGCGGAATATCGCATACTCACCTGCGGAATATGCCATATACCGCAGGTGAGTATGGCATATTCACCCGTATCACAAATACCGCGCAACCATGAATGTATGCCATATTCCGCGTAACAATTTACACTACACGTGACATTCTAAGACGTCTTGGCGAAAACGTATGAGAAATATTATGTTGAGTTTACACCATGTTGATTCATGTTGATTTCAGTACAAACCTCCGAAAAATGCTAAGAGTTTTTATATCTCAGATTTACATTACCCCAGATCTCCCAGAGACTACTTGTCATAATTTAGGAAAGTGATTTGTGACGTTCTCTCTTCTTAGGGTACTTTTAAAAGGTATAATTTGAATCTTAAATTCTTAACGTAGTTCACAGTTAAAACTGCTCCGTCACAGCGGACAAAAAATGTAAACATTATTTTTTATAAAAAATATTAAAAATACCCAACACATCAAGATATCATTAATACCTTCAGAGTTATGCTGAAAACATATGTAAATATTATCGTGTCGCTATATTGTACCATTAGAAAGAAACAAAAGAAATTGTACATTTTGGAGCATGATACCCCGGCGCCGTTTTCAATAGCTTTTACTCTTAGCGTTGTTGGACTTCAAACAAAAGTTAAAGTTACCCGCAAATGATATACCCATTGCATGGAGTAAGAAACTTTCTTTGGTATAGCGAAACATATGAGTAAAAAAATAAATTGTGTGGATTTCTTATTGTTTCTATGCAAAATAGCACGCTCCGTCACAGCGGACAAATTTTTCGATACCAGCCTGTGACTAATAAGGTCAGAGATATACAATACTTTATATGTCTCTCTTTAGGTACGGTTTTTAACAGAGTCTATTTTATTAGCCTACTGAATAGCATATCAGATTCAAAACAGGAAATATGTATTCCAGGATGAAATCTTGTTTTTGTTTGTTTGTTTGTTTCTTAGTGTTTGTTTGTTTGTTAATTTGTTAGTTTGTTTGATGACCTTACTTGCGGTAAGCATCAATATGCAACACTGTATTAAAGCAACCATTGAAACCAAGAGCCTCAAATCTAAGCTCCACCCTTGACTATAAAGTACGTGAGGAGTTAACAAAAAGATGGCTGTATCAGTTTCCCTAACCAGATCAACACCATGCTGCATCGTTCAGTGAAAGTATATCAAGCACCGAGGCCATCTGGACTAAATAAAGCCATCATAAATGCCAAACTAGATCCAGTGATTAAGCATCCAAAAATTAGGGAGTTTTTTAAATGAGATCAGGAATAGATGATGTTGCTATCGCCAATGAGGATGCGGTTTAGTGTGATGCAAGTTAACAGATATTTTGACAAAGTGTTTTCGACAACAAGATGTATATAGAAAGTTGGGCGGGACCAACATTGATGAAAGATTCATTACTTAATACATTGATTTACTCATGTTTTTTGTTTCGAAGACAAAAACTCTCTTTCCAAGACAAACAAATAATACAACAAATCTAAGTGACCAACCAAACTTAACTACTGTTACTTCATTTCAAAAGTAGGTTTGGTATTGGGAATTATCTTGAACGTAGCGAACATTAACAATATAAACATAGCCAAAACCACGGTGTCCAACCCAAACGCTCTTACATGCATGACGGAGCGTTTCATTCACGCGGAAACGCTGTGGAGCGAAATAAAATGGCGGCTAATGAAGATACCATTATGACCGTAAGTATTGTTTCACTCGTTTCTCTTACGTATCATACGTTATGGTGACATATTATGTACCATTCGATGAACAATACCCTGAGCAAAAATCTTATCTATTCAACTTTGTTTCAACTAGGTGTTAAACTATTATTTGCTTGATCAAAGCTCCGTAGTGTAGATCGAACGAATCTGAAGTTGACGAATTGAACACAAATTACGAATTAAACTAGTATTTATATGAAAACGTCAATCTTTCTGTTAAAGTAGTAGATCACAAACTTGTATATTCTTATTTTCGAAATCCCAGTCCAAATCCATTACTTGTTCTTGAGAAATCGCTTGTTTTCCTAGAAACGCTCCGTCGATTTAGGACACAATTTTAGAAACGCGCTCTTACCATTTTGTTTTGATATTATTTTCAGATTATTAGAGACGAGAGTTCGGAATCGAATTTATCTCTCAAAAACATGTTGTACTTGTTAGGTAAATTGAAACGTCCCAACCTGGTGGTGCTAAACGTGCAACTAGCCGACCTAAGCCTACACTAGATGATGTTATGCCTAAATGTGTGCTTAAATATAAAACTCTTGACAAAAAAAGTTGACATGTGAATTAATCTTTCTTCTTTTGATGCCAATGGGTATAATAGTACAATGACGTCATTTCAAAGGGCAATATAGTGAAATTTTGGACCAATATTTCACTATTTTGCCCGCAGAAATGACGTTATTACTATTATTACCACCGTTAATGCCCAGGGCTGAAATAGCAAACTTGAAATAGAAAATCTTACGCACTGAACGATATCACTTTTCCCGGGAAACATCGCCGGGCGGATAATGTCATTATTGCCCGACTAAAGTCATTAACGCCCGACACAATATTGCTCACGTCAATATAGCAATTTAAATGCCTTCTCAACTAGTACTAAAACCCCTAGAACAGGCCCTGCAAGGTGGTAATAAATTTTCTTTCTCTTCCTGAAAAGGAAAGTCAAGCTATATATTTCCTAAACAGATCTAGAGTAGACTACCGCAGCGTTTCCAGTTCACTGTGTTAACCAGGTCGCAGCGTTTCTTGAATATGAGAATGTCATTATTTTTAAGACTGGATTTTCGGTCATCACATCACAATTACGATA